ATTTCGAGACGAGAAGCGACCTTCATCAGTTCTGTTCGTACCGAGCGATACCTGTGCGCTAAGGAAGGATAGTGCCGAGTAACGTTCCAGAAGTCTACCACGGAGTCGGTGTAAGCGTAGAGGACCAGATTGAAGATGGTGAGGAAATCGAGACCCTGGAAGAGTACCAGGACTCTGCCACCCTCTGCGCGGACAGTAAGTAGATCAGGCACCACGTGTTCGGCGCCCCTGACACGAAAGTCGAGCAGAGCGTCCCGCAGTATACGGCTGCGCCCAGTCAAGATGAACTCGTGAACAGGTATCCGGACATCGGACAGGGTTGATCCGACTTCCATGTTGTATGTCCGATCTTGTGTCATCGACGAGCCTCGCAAAATGTCAGTCATCTCCGCTTCCAGGTCCTTTGATTTCAAGACACGCTTGCGGAGACCTTGCGCTTCTGAAGCTCGAGTCCAGAATCTTGGTGTCGGCTCTTCGTCGTCTGACGTCTCCTCATAGTTTGTCAACTCGTGGAAAGAGAGCAAAGGTGCAAGGTCGTCCCAAAGCCCGGCCTCATCCACACCTATCTGGTTTCTGGTGACGTCGCAATCCTTGCGAATCGCGGCATACGCACCAAATGCGGAGGCACGAACAGCAATAACCCGGGTCAAGCCCGAGACACGCTGGAACTTGTAGTCTTTTGGCTTGGATTCTACAGCGGCAATGAGGCTCGCGTTCTTGATCGTCGCGCGTTTCGTACGTCTCCAGACACTACCGACTTCAGTAGTCAGAATGATGGAACCGTCCTGATCGACATCGACATCTCTTGCTGCCATGTGGCTCTTCTTCGACGACCAAATGCGGAATGGTGCGGATAGTGCTCCTCTAATTTGCTTCGGATTCGTGGTCGATGTGCCAGCGTCTTGAGCACCCTCTGAACGTCGACTGACCGCGACTGTAAAGACCTCACCAGAAGTAGATAACGCACAAATGGTGTCACCACCCGATGTGATCTTGCTGATCCTGTTCGGTGCGGTATCATACTTTGTAGTCAGCCAGCTCTCCTTGAGGAAGTTACTAGTGAACCCGTCCAAGGGAAAGCTGAGTTTCGCATAACCGTAGTTGGCAAATACCCAAACTTCGCGATTCTCCAACAAACACACTGTAGCCCCGTCGATAGCCGAAACTGAGTGGATTGGGCTCGAGAACAGTGCTGCCGCTATCTTCCTGGGAACGACCTGCATCTCAAGCGACCGTGCGTCCGAATCAACGATACCGAGTTGGCCCTCATTCTTGCCAAAGGTGTACAGCGAGGTCGCAGTGTGAACGACTGAATGTATCCGAGATGCGGAGATACCGGTAACAACATCTCGCTTCAAAGGCCCAAAGATTTGGCGGGGAATAGTCGATATTGGGTCGTCGTCCTTCACGGCGGGCTTCGGTAGCGCGTACCCTAATTGTCCGTAGGCATTGTTACCCCATGAGAATATCTCTCCCTCCTCAGTAATGGCCAAAGTGTGGTTCTGCCCCAACGCGACAGCAGCAACCTTCTTCTGACCTAGTCCGCCGCTTTCAATGCAGGTAAACTGATATCTCGTCGTTTCATTACCAGTGCCTAGACGACCGCCTGGACCATGGCCACACATGTACAGATTAGAAACGGGGTCAGTGGTCAAGACGGCGGTGTGCAGTTTCGACATTCGTACGTCTTGAATGACTATTGGAGTATTCCGGATGTGAGTAGGAAGATCTACAGTACTGCGCGCTTGGAGAAGCCCAGAATCCTGCATTGAAGTGCCTGTCGCAGCCCAATACTGATTTTGGCGCTCGCGATGCTCCCTATAAAAACGCTGAAGGAGGTGATCTGGGCGGCGCAGAGTGATGCGTTCCGGATACTGACGATCATCTTCATCACCAAAACCAAGAGTGACGTTCTTGTTGCTGCCAAAGGTGTAAACTTCGTCTCCCTCGAGAAGCACGGGCGGTGCGATCAACTTCTTGCGCATCTCGTCATCCACATCGCCACTGTCGCCATGAGCCATCTCATCGTCTGAGTCAGAATCGAAAGCAGGCGCTTCTTCGGGTCGCAAAGTCCGGTCCTTGATAGTCATGGAGAATAAATCCAAAGGACCGTATCCTTCCTTGTCTTTGATCTTGACCAGACCCCGCGCGTGCTGATTGAACCCGCTAGACCCTTGGCCGAGGATGTCCTGCGCATCGCGGTTCAAAATGAGACGCGCAATGGCGATGTTGCCAAAGTAAAAGGCCCTGTGAAGCGCAGTCCAGCCATTCTCCGCATCTTGTATATACACGTCGGTCCAGGGATGTTCTAGCAGCGCTTGCGCGAACTCTACTGCGCTGTCCGCGGTGGACGAGGCTGAATGGTGCAGGATAGTCATTCCTGCAGCATCGCGACTGTTGATGTCGAATCGACTAAGGTTCGCAGCCGCGCCCATGCCCATCTTGCGGCCCTTGGCACTCGTTATTGGTGATGCATTGTAGCTACCCGGACTTCCGTTCACTGCTGTGGCAAACCCTCCGCCCTGCCAGCCAGTGAAGCTTTTCTGTGTTGCGGATCGGTGCGTATGCGTGGGGGTTGCGAGGACATGTCGAAAGTTGTCGACATCATCTTCGAGGTAGTATTTCCAGAGATAGCCGCTCATGTGCCGGTAGGAGGAAGGAGTGATCCGAAGCTTTTACGAGTAGCACCTGGCCTCAACCTCAGGGGGTCAAAGCGTGTTTAAAGGCGCTGGCTGTAAAGCTGAGGACGACTCCAGATAAGGGGACCGAACGCGACGGGTCGGCGGGGTGTGTGGCAGATGTAGTCGTTTGTGGAGGTAAGACGTGTACGCGTATCGGTATGCGGGTGGGAATGCGCGGGGGACGAGGAAGGGGCAAGGTGGCAAGTCGTCCGAAAGCGATTGCTGGTGGTTAGATTGAGCCTGCAAGAGGTGCGATGTGGCAAAAGTCGACGATGGAATGCGACAAGCTTGCTGGGCAATGTGTGCGTTTGTGTTGGTTGTGGAAGGCGCAAGTGGCGGGGCGCGAAATGGGAGTGGGTTGAGGTGCTAGGTATCTATGACGAAACTACCGAGGCGATTGATTATAAGGGAGTCGCTGAGTCGCGAGAGTGGGATGAGTCAGAATGAGACTGCTATACTTCCTCAAGCTTCCGACAGGCGCGATGGAAGGGTTAGTTATATGCAGCAGTCGCGAATACCTTTCGGAGGTGCACTGCGGGCGCGTTGTGGGATGGCCATCTCGAAGCCATGGGGTTCCAGCCAATGGGGTGCGCCCTCCTCTCCACAAGCTGTGCTCGGAGGTCGACATTGCTTGCAACATAAGCTGCTACAGTGACTATAGTGGTTTGTGACTGGCATCCAAATCATGAGATGTCCGACCTCGGCTATGACATGTCGATGAGGAAGCAGAGCTGTGGAGGGACCAGTGTTGCGCGCGATGAAGGCGCGAGCACGACTATACTATATACCATGCACGGTTACTCCACACTGACTGGCGGTCAACCTGCCCTATATGACAGACTTCAAATTGGCGCTTGGAGTCACTGGAAGGGTCTCTTGGACTTTGGATGCGCTTCAAGGGCGAGACTTGATTGTAAAAGAAACGTGAACCGCTGCAGGGCGGGAGCTAGCCTCTGGAAGCTACTCGGACCTAGCGATGAGTTCACGACAAGGGAGCTACGAAGAAGGTCCGAAGACACGGCGTCAATCACATCATCGAGCATGAGGTGATAGCACGTCTTGATAGCCACGCGTTCATGGGTGCCTTCAAGTGACGCGCCAAGGCCAGGCCGTGGATATCAAAAGCAAGTGATGATGCTTTGCAGTGCATATGCAGCTGAACAGCCACAGGAGGTGCTCTTGCATGCATCGACACGTCTATTCGACATGGGTCGTAGGCAGCGAAGATACGAGTCTGCGCAGATGGACGTTCTGCGCAGACAGTGACATGCAAGCTAAACCTTGTGTGCGATAGAGGAAGTGCCTGTTCCTGGCTCGCCGGCCATGACATGATGAAATCGGCACAGCGCGTCTCACCGGCAACGCGGTAGCACAGACGATAAAGCAGATCTTGTATGACCGGTCAGAGGCCAGAGGCTGTGAATAGGCAAGGGAGGCGTCGAACGGTGGTGCATAGCCGGGCTCGCTAACCAATGAGGCAGTCTGTGCCAGGATAGCCGTCCACGTCGACTGGAGGGCGAGGGTGAATGCGCATGCGCAGGCCACGATGGTGGTGGTGGATGATGGCGTGGCCGCGGTCTCGATGTCGGAGGAGTGGTCCCAGCTCCCTGAGCCCGCCGAAGCTTCCACAACGAGTCACGCCAGTCACGGCTTGGACACTGCACACCTCCATCTTCCCCGGATTTGGCCCAAGTCAGATAGATTCCCTCATTGAGCACCTGCTGCTAGCTCCCTGCAGCTCCCGATAGCTTTATCTTGCCCGCCCGACTACTGCGCGGCTGCTGCGTCGTTTATCTCGTGCGCGAGCTTAGCTATCTTCCGCCCTCGTCATTCCACCACGGCCGCGTGACTGACTCCCGGCGCATGCGTCCCAACCCTCTCTGACTCTTCATACGCCATCCGCCATCCGCCTGCCCTGCCTGATTGCCTGTCTCTGTCCAGGACGCCGCCGTAGCAGTTGTCGTCCCAACAGCTGCAGCCACCCTCACTGCGCCCTTCACCCTTCCAGCCGGGTGCTCAGCTTAACTCCGCTCATTGCCCCAGGCACGCATTCAACACAGCGCCAGCACCCTGCATATCATGGCTGCTGCCTGAGCCCTACCCGCCTGTTGAACCATCCCCCGCGTGCCCAAGTCTTCTGAGAGACATATCTGACGGCTCCTACGCGAACCTGACCCTGGCTGCACTCGTGATGGCTACGCGCATTCACCCTCGCCTGTTTCCGCCGCAACCATAACCGTCCTACTTCACTCGCCCGAGTCCCTCGCTGCCAGTCACGACACGCTCTCTTCCCGCCCGTACCTGCAGGACGCCGCCGCCATGCACCCATACTCGCGCCCCTCGCCGCGGACAGCCTCGCCTGCCAGCAACCTCCAGACCAACCCCACACGAACCAACAACCAGCGGCATAACAGCCAGGACATGACGGCATACTCGACTACGCCGCCCTACAGCGACCGCGGTGCTGAAGAGTCGGAAGGCGAAATGATGTCGAGGGGAGAGCCCGCCTCCGAGTCGAGGGGGCAATACCACAAGGTCAACCAAGTCATCCAGGTACTTATCTTCTCCTCCCGTCTGTGGCTGGACGCATACTTACTCCCACCAGAACTTCTTCACCAAATCAGCCCTCGCCATCGTATCTTCTCGCGTAACTCTCCCCCCAGCATACAACAAGGATGGCAAGATGAAGCACAACAAATGGGTATGTGCTGCTTATCCCGCAACTCCATATTCCTCACTAACAGGCCATAGTTCAATGTCGTCCTCCCCGATAGCGATGTGCTCCAGCGCCAACTTACCGAATGGAAACTCATGGATGCCGTAAACGGCCAGCATCCGTCGCTATGCATCGACATCTACCTGGACATACAAGGCCTCGGCCACAACCAGTCGCTCGTCATACACGATGATGATGGAAAGAAGTGGGACGTCGCTGCGGCTCTCAGCTCTGCAGATGCGACCTCCCGATCGTCAGGCCGCACCGGCAAATCCACACAGGTTGTGCTCGAGCGTTGGAGGGTACACGTCGGAGACAAGAGCTTGGTGCAGCCTTCAGAGCTGAGCGAACCGCTTCCCAACGTGTACAAGAAGGCCGTCGTCACTTTCCGGTCGCTGTTCGCTTACCTGCGCTTCATGCCTGCGTTCAGATACAACAAGGTGCTCGCCAAGCAACCCGCAAATTCACCTTCACTGAAGCTCAACTACCGCGTTTCAAATGGGGATTTCAAGAGCCCCAATGTCGATACCCTGAATCTGCCGCTCTACCCAACCGACCCAAACGAAAGGATCACAGACATAAACGACATCGAGCCCACCAACTCGCCTGTAGGCCCTCTGAGTGTGACAGTCGAGTACCGCACCAACTGCGAGTTCAGCGTAGAAGACTCAGAGTCTCTTCTGAGTTCGCAGTTCAAGGGCTTGGACGACACCTACTTCGAGCAAAAGACACGCCAACTACCTGGATCACTTCCTGTAAACAAGATGAATGCGCAAGAGAGCCCCGATGTTGGACAAGCATACGGCAGCCTTTCAACGTTCCATCAAGTTGGTCCGCCAACAGGAACAAGCCCCATCTCAGCTCTTCGCGCAGCACGGGATATGCCGTCATCATCACCCATGGAGTCACCACCACAGAAGCTGCCACCCAACCATCGCACCGCCCAAGGCTCCAAGTCATCTCTACGCTCCGTGGATACGCCATCATACCAGCGACGAACCTCCGTCTCTTTCCAACCCTTCAAGGCTGGCTCACTCTCATCCTCGCCAGCCCTCGGTGTGCCTCCATCTCCCACCAGCTCAGTAGGAAGACCCGGCAGCTCCCTTGGTCGGACCGCCACCCCCAACCCACTCACTCAACCGCGTAACCGAACGTCACTGACTGCCCTCCCTCAAACGGCGCTTCGGACACCTTCATTACCCAACGACAATGTCATCACTTCTTCTGCATCAAGCTCGCCAAAACCTGCGCCCATCAGTCGCTACAGCAGTAGCTTCGGTCATAGGAGAAGCAAGTTTTCAACAGGGGGCGGCAGCAAAACAGAGGATGACAACCTCAGTAGTGGGAAGGGAAGCCTCTCCTCGTCAGCGCAACGCGGGTCTGACACCATGAATGAGGGCACAGGCGGCAGTTCAGGCGAAGTGAAGACGGACGATGAGAATATTTCCGACTTCCTCAAGCTTCTCGAGTCGAAGAAGGATCTCAAAAGCTTCACACGGAGCGACAAATCAGCCAAGGCAGCCACTATGCACAAGACTACAGCTCAGCTGTCCAAGTATCAGCGCATGCGCGAGTCACATACAGGCCTTGCTGAATCGGTTTCTTCTTCCACCATGCTTCATCGCACACCATCATCCTCCAGCCGCCATTTATCTAGTGTCCCCGCGATGATTGCCGGCACGTCAGTATCGACAGCGTCCTCACCTGGCAAGCCAATCTCACCCCATACTCCGCATACACCAGCCATCCCGTCCCGTCTCAGCGCAAATAGTATCGCGGACTACGACCAACCTACACGCAGTCGAAGCCGCCCTGGTCGGAGGACGCGCGAGCACGATGTAGTCAACGTCGAAGAGCAAAGCGAGAGCGAGGATCAAAACATGAACGCCATTGCCATTCCAACTTCACCACGGCCGTGGCACTACACCCGCCGATCAAGTTCCGTCTCCCAGCAAAATAGGACATTACCTGACGACGAGCCCGACGTGTTCGGCGTCCGATCGGCCAGTCTACCATCGGAGGAGGTTGATCGCGCTAACGATCTGCATCGTCTGACCAGCGCAGGTCTTACGTCTAGTGGACTATTCGCGCAAACGGAGCTACTAGCTAGTGGCAATCGCGATAGCCAGACTGCTGATAACGATTCTCGCGATGACTTGCCCCGGCCGTCGTCCACTTCCAACATGGCCAAACGCGGCACCCAGGCTGGTGCACGTGGTCGAGGCGGATTCTTCTCGCATAGCTCTTCTACCAGCCTCAGCACTGGTGGTACGAGCTCGACTGAACGTCAAAGTCGCTACAACTTTAACAGCCGCGCTGCAACAAATGTCGACGACGACGAACCTCTGCTTTTTCAGATGAGCGAGATTGGTGCCGGGGGCTCCCGACGCAGTCTCGAGGAAGCACGAGGCGGCACCAGTACAAGCAGCGGCGGGAAACGTGGATCGTACTTCCGCTGAGCACTTTTCTTTTCAAACAAACACGTCAAGCGTTTGCACTTCTCGATCTCTATTGACATCCTTTCCAATGGCGTTTCCGGGGCATGGAGTCTGGGATATCTTTCCATCATCCCTTTAGCGTTTTACATACGTTGTTGCGCATTTCCAAATTTTCGTTCTTTTCTCACTTATCAGATTGAGTACCCATGGCGGAATGGATGGACCCGGCGTTAAACAAATGGGTATTTGTTTTCTTTTTTGCAAACGGCCAAGAAGGACATCTAACTCTCATGTAAAGGAGTGGATCTTTATCTATGATTGTCATCAGTGTTTGATGCTCGGCGGGCGCGGAGTTTCTGGGATGGGATGGATAGGCATGGATGGGTATGGGTATGGATACGGTTTATCAGGGTAGCGCAGACGTCTTGATTGGATCGTCTGCAGTATGAATGAATATGTTATCACTCCGCTCATTTTGTACTCGACTCTGAATTTATGTGCGATGCAGTGATGATGCGATCAAGCAGAGGTACTCTCTACTTCACCTTCTTCCCCTCCAACAAATCATCCAACCCCTTCAGTCCCCCCTCAAACCCATCAAGATCATACTCTTTCGGATATCTCACGAGCACATCCTTCAACTCTAACACATGCTCCCTCTGCTCAGCCGTCAACTCCTCCCAAACCCCCTCAAACGCATTCCGGATGCTGGGTTTCTTCTCCTTCTCCGCCTGTTCAAATGCACTCAACACCTCTTTCCTCGTCGCACTCCTCAACTCCTTTTCTTGGGCATCGTCCCAGAGTGCGCGTCCTTCAAGCCACTTTCTAAGTCGTGTGATGGGGTTATCGCGGCGCTTCCAGTCTTCGACTTCGACGCGTTGGCGGTACGCGAAGGAGTCGTCGGAGGTGCTGTGGTGGCCTACGCGGTATGCCATCATTTCTATCAAGACGGGGCGTCCGCCGTCGTGCAGGGCCAGCCGCCGTGCTTCGGCTGTGGCGCGCCGGACGGCGAAGATGTCGTTGCCGTCTACGCGGAGAGTGGCGATGCCGTAGCCTGCGCCGCGGGATGCGATGCCGTCGCCTCGGTATTGGTCTGATGTTGGGGTGGAAATGGCGTACCCGTTGTTGCGGCAGATGAAGATGCAGGGGACTTGTCTAGTCGCAGCGATGTTGAGGGCAGCGTGGAAGTCTCCTTCGCTGGCGGCACCCTCACCGAAGTAACACACCGCGACGCGTGGCTCTGTCTCAGGGTTCTGCACATTCTGCATCTTGAGGGCGTAGGCGGCGCCTGCTGCGTGGGGGATTTGCGTTGCGAGGGTTGAACTGATGGTGTGGATGTTGAGCTCCTTGCTGCCGTAGTGGACGGGCATGTTGCGGCCTAGACCGTTGTCTTTTGCATTGGCGAAGAGCTGGTTCATGAAGGAGGAGAGGGTGAAGCCGCGTTGGAGGTAGACGCCTGATTCGCGGTATTGGCAGAAGATTACGTCGGCGGGGGAGAGGGCGCTGGCGGAGCCGATGGCTATGCCTTCTTCGCCGGCGGAGACCTGGTTCTGTCAGTATGAAGTTGAGAGATGTGCGGTGTTTGACGTACCATGTAGAAGGATAGTCTTCCTTGCCGTTGCGCTTCAAACATCAATAGATCCATTATGCTCACTGTAGCCTGTCAATGGGATGTCCACACTAAGTAACAGTTTCACTGACGCTTAACCATATTCTTGTATAAAGACAGAGCTTCCTCATCTGAGGTCTCTACTCCAATCTCCTTGTCTATGATCTCTCCATACTGGTTCATGACACGGTACGTGGATATCGCCGGGGCTTGGGCTGGTTGCATAAACTCCATGGTATTCGTGAACTCGCTGTTCAGCGCACCAGGAAACAACACCCTGAGCACAATGTCAGTCTTCCATCCTAACGCAGTTCATACACAAAAACTCACCTCTCAGCCGTAGGCGTCGAAGCAACACCCCTACATGACTGCAATGGCGTGCCGACAACCTTCCTCGACCCATGAAGCCCTCCCTGGAGGCCCGAAAGCCTCTGTAACCGTAATATCCGCGAAGTATACCGGAACGACATAATGGCAATTCTACATCCTCAGAATTAAGGCGCGGGCGGGGGACAGCGGTATATCAATAATTCTGGGGAAGCATGCGCCTGGGGTAGGCGGCAAGCGTCGGCGTAGTCGACGTCAACCGCGGTCAAACAATGGCGGGCGGGCGCTAGCAAACTTCCGGTTGGTACGGCTGGCTGGGCTAGAATGCGCGTGTCATGGCGCATGAATTCGAGAAAGTCGCCCGCCAAGCCTTTGTCGAACAACAACCACGACCAGCGCAAACATGCAGGCGAGCCGACAGAGGATAGGACGGCAATTGCTGGGCGGAAGGAAGAGTAGGGTGGCTAGGGAGCCGTACAGATGTTTCTCGTGCTCCATCCGACAAGCGCAGCAGGGCACGCCACCACCGAAGTCGCCGCAGAATGGCGGCAGCGGCCAGCAAACGACGCATTTTGGATTCGAGACGATATCTGAAGCGTTGAAGGAGCAGAGGGGTATGTCAATTGCATTCCGCCTCCCCCTACACGCCCAATACTGACGGTAAACCGCACAGTCGGCGCAGTATTCTCCTCCGTAGCCTCCTCCTACGACTCCATGAACGACTTCATGTCCCTCGGCATCCACCGCCTCTGGAAAGACCACTTCGTGCGAAACCTAAACCCGGGCCTCAATCCCCTCACCTCCCCCACCACCCAACAAGGCATGTCCATCCTCGACATCGCCGGCGGCACCGGCGACATCGCCTTCCGCATGCTCGACCACGCCTCTACTATAAACCACGACCCCCACACGCGCGTCGTCGTCGCAGACATAAACCCCGACATGCTAGCTGAAGGCCGGAAGCGATCGTTGCAAACACCGTATGCGCGGTCTCCGAGATTGGATTTCGTCGAAGCGAATGCGGAGAAATTGGATATGATACCGGATGCATCCGTCGACCTCTACACCGTCGCCTTCGGCATCCGCAACTTCACACACAAAGAAATCGCGCTGAAAGAGGCTTTCCGCGTTTTGAAGCCCGGCGGCGTATTCGCGTGTCTCGAGTTCAGCAAAGTCAACAACCCGGTCTTTGACGCCGTGTACCAGCGCTGGAGTTTCGGTGCTATACCCTTGATAGGACAGGTGGTTGCCGGGGACAGGGAGAGTTATCAGTATCTAGTGGAGAGTATAGCAAGGTTCCCGAGTCAGGAGGAGTTTAGCAGTATGATAAGGGAGGCAGGGTTTTTGGTGCCGGGTAAGGGGTGGGAGGATTTGACTATGGGGATTGCGGCTATTCATAAGGGTGTTAAGCCGAAGGCTTAGGAAGGTGAATATCTGAGGTAGGGGTATGTAGTGTTATGTCTGTATGAATATACGAGTTGACAAGATGATGACTATCTTGAGGCTCTGATCATGTCAGTTTCGCTGATGTGCTGTTATTCAAAGTCATCCATCTTTTTCACATTGTCTATTGTGACCATAACGTCTTCGTTGCGGTGTAAGAGAAGTAATTGGCCACGGCGTCAATCCCCCTTCGTAGCACCAACTCCGACATTCGCTTCCCCAATCCATTCCATCACACCGCAACACCGTTTCACCAGACCATCAAGGTACCTGAACACGCAAAGCAGCATACATCGGATAGCTGCCCTGTCCGACGTGTCAAAAGCTGTGCGAGGTGATGCACAGGCACATCACATTCATTCAGTGTAGTGTTGTACTGGAAATTGATTGGGATTGGACTGCTTTAATATAGTCCTTCGCCGAAGCGATTGACATAATGGTGACTATGTAGCATCGACCAGCCAGTCGGGATCAGCGTCTTCGTCCTCGGGGTCTTCCATCATGAGGGAGCCGGTTTCTGAGGGGGATGACGAGGGTGGAGAGGGCATTTCGGTGTCTGTATTGGGTTTGGGTTCGAGATCATCGGGCTGCTCCGGGGGTGTTGCTTCTTCGGTCTTTTCCAATTGCGCATCGTTGGTGGGTTCTGCTTCTGGTATGAAACCTCCGGCGGTATCTGCAGTTTCGTCAAGCTGCGAAGGCTCGGCATTGGCGTCTTTGGTAGCAGTGGAGGGACCTGCTTCGTCTGGAGAGCCGTCACGGACGAAGCCTCCGCCTTCTTCATCATCCTCGGAAGAGTAGATTTGACCATAGCTACTCCTACGCCGAGGGAGCAGCTGTTGCGAATCCAGGATGGAGCTTTCAAAGCTTTGATGTCGGTTTAGACTGATAGGCGCTGGACGGTCGGGTTCTTCTGGGATAAAGCCGCCGCCTCCATCACCGTCGTCTTCGTTGTCGTCCTTAGGCAGGAACCCGCCATCTTCGTAATTTTGCTCAGGTGGTTGATAGCCACCCGCTGAGGGTTTTGCAACATCTCCCTCATCAGGGAAGAAGCCTCCGGCCATCTCCTGTGCCGCTAACTCTCTGTCCTCTTTACTAATCTCATCTTGCACATCAATGGCTGGGCCCTTTTCACCATCAATCTCGATAGCGTTGACACGTTGTGCTATGCGGAGGCCGAGGAAGAAGCGTCTCCATAGGCGCAGAGACTCAACCCTTCGCGCCTCGGCTTCAGCTTCTTCTTGTTGTTGCTCCATTCCATCGATGACTGCTTGGACAGCATCTGCGTACTCTTGTGCAACCACGACACCCTGCACAATCGCAGTACCATGGCGACCCTTGAAGGAAAAGCCAGTGACAGCATCGGCATAGTCTACCCCAACGATACGCGCTGCTTTTGATGCGAGCTTGTGTCGGATGTGCGTACCGCCGGGCGGGCACATGGACGGGACATAGAGGTCAAGATTACCATAGGCATTGCGTGGCACGCGTCCACGGACGACGGGAGGTGGAATGTAGAGCTCGGTCTGGAACTGTGCAAAGAGCCCTGCACCAACCTCATCAACCTGTTCATCAACATCCATGTCTGCTCCAATCGAAGACCTTCTTCCTTTCTTGGGCTTGGCGCGCTTGAGCGGTTGCTCGC